GTTTCCTGGTAACAGATCCTACAGATGGAGATTATTCATCTTCTACGTCACATTGTTACTGTCTGGTGAATATCCCGCAACTGATGTCTTGTCAACCGTGAACTCAACTCTTCTCATCTCTCTACAGCCTCCCTTCAAGAGCTTGACTCAACTGCCAACCCTCAATGGAACTCTCTCATTCACCAACCAACCAACCAACCAACCAACCACTTCACTTCACTTCACTCAACTGAACTTCACAGTCTTCACAGGCCGACTTCTAATTCTTCTTCAACTTTAGACCTCTCGTGGCTATGTTGTACCGACAACTAACTTTGAACTGAACTGTGCTGAATCTTATATCCTCTTGGCACGGACCATGCACAGAAAACACAGCACTGTACTGTTGCATGGCATAGACCACATATAAAACATGTTCCTGTATTGTTGCATGTTGGAACGTGTTTACCGAGCCATTGCCTAGAAATGGGCTGCATAAACCTGTTTTTCTCGTTGTGTTCTTGCATTACTTAGCAATGGCTGTTTCTGTGGCTCAGCAGTTTTTGCATGGAGTAATTATGCCACATTATTGCCAGAATGCGCCAACCAATCCTCATGAAACTTTGTATGTATATCATGCCACCTGAGGCCATCTCAGTGGCATGCTTAAGTACCAGCACTACAGCCCATCAAATTCTTGAGGTAATTACTTCAGTTCCTGAACCTATCATCATGAAATTCCATATGTATGTGCCATGCTATCTGAGGTAATCTTAACGGCATACATCATAAATCCTTCCCATTAGTAATACCAACACTGCAGTCTCTCCGGTTTTTGAGGCAATAACGTAAATATTATCTGAATGCCTGAACCACTCTTCATGAAATTTTGGATGTATATCATGCCATCTGAAGCCATCACAACAGAGGACTTCATAAATCTCATACCAACGTTGCAGCCCTTCCAATTTTATTGTCTTATTGACTGCATTATGCATACTAAAGTTTCCTTCCCACTTGTTGTTTCAGATATCAAATTACAGTGAAAGGAAAGGGAGTGATTAGTTCTTCCCAGAACTTCTTGTTAATATTTTAGAAAATCTGTTGTATGGAATAATAATAAAAAATATCATGGACTTGAAATTGCATACAGGAATCTGTGCTAGTTACATAGTGGTGATTGAGCCACTTTTGTCATGAAATGATTTATCCTCCTTCCCTCTTCTCCTCCTCTTCTACTCCTTCCATTGGAAGGCCACTACCTACACAAATACAGGATAAACCCAGACAGACATCCATGCCTTGGTGGGGTTTTGACCCATAATCCTAGTGTTCGAACAGGTGAAGCCATTTCATGCCTTAGATCATGCAGCCACAATGATCGGCCATTAAACTATTAAGTAAGAAAATAAATCTTAAAAGCTATTAATCATTTTGTAAACATGATATAAGCATTGAAACATAACTTACTTGACTGTGCAGTGTGTTGCTTGTGGGTCCCTGGGGAGGGTTCAGTGGTCCTTGTGTGTGTGCATTGTGTTGTTAGGGTATCCACAGACATGGAAAGTTTTAGATCTGCTATTTTAGAATATCCTAGTCAAGTCAGTGTGTGTATAGAATGGTACCCTTCTAATTGGGTGGAAGAATGTACAATTTATGTGTTACATTTTGTCACATATTACTCTGTGTTGTTAATGATGTTCATTCTTTGCTGTGGATATAATCCTTCTTTTCTTCCTGATGGATGTGCATCTTGAAATTTTCCTGGTTCTATCACCAAAGAAAGGAGCCATATTATTTTCTGAACCATGAAAGCAAATTTAGCTTAATCTTAAATGATTTTAAAGCCGTTTCAAGAAGAGCTGAACTGAAGCAGAAAGTAGCAACTGACAAGTGGTTGGTGGTGAGAGTCCACTGCTAAAAAGATAGTGCAGTGGGTATTTCAGATTTTCCCCCAATCAGCCAACACATGCAACATGGAAGTTAAAGTTTAATATTTGTTCCAGACCTTCATATAAGCAACTGATGAATTTCAAATATTGGGCAGGCTTATATCTCATACTGTTGTCAACTGTATGTGTGATTAGACAGGGTTTAGAATGGAGATTGGCTTTATTGATCTCCACACTTCACAAATCAATAGAGCACATGCTAAGTCTTTTCGAGCCTGCAATGTCTTCACTAGTAGTTGCCTGGTGATGGCTCCTACAGTGGCTATTCCTCTGCTTCTGTGCTGAAGTCCTCTCTGAATGGCAGCTTCATTGCAAGTGAGGTTGGTCTTCACTTCATACTGCTTATAACTACTCGGCATGGACCGCCATAGACAGTGCCTCTTGTTGTGTGTGAACTCGTTGCCATGGGAACCTGTTTGTTTCATGGTCGCTACCTAATAACAAGTCTATATGCTACACTATAATCACAGTGTACAGAACAATAAAAATGGATTTTGTGTTCCTGAATGTCTTAAATGTTATCATTGGAATTTTGGGTTAAATGAAGAATATTCAGACAGGCTGTTCACTCAGAAATTATAGTAACACTATAATTCCTCTCCACTTAAAAAATTAAATTTATTATAGATTCTATTAGCAAGTGTGGTTGGCATTGCCTGGACATGATGCACTCATGCAAAACAAAAATTCAGTTCAATTCAATTCAGTTCTTTATTATTAATGTGCCGAGTCAACAGCCGCAAGGCCAATTACAGACACAGCACAGTGCAGATGAATGAATTACATTATAGACAAACTTATTAAAAGTCAAATACAAATTACAGGTAAGTACTTGGAAGAAATAATAATGAATAAAAGTAAAAGTAAACAAACAAATAACTGATAATTATAACAGTAATAATCATTTCATTATCATTAAACTAAGTGTTATTATGAATTGATGAATGAAACATAAATATTTAATTAAGAAATGAATAGTATAGATTTTCAGAAGATAATAATAATATACGTAATTCATTTTGTTTTACTGGACATGCAAATAATAAAAATACTAACAGTTATACTATATTTAAAATTTGTTTGGGTAGAACATTCCTGGCTCCGAATACGTCAACCTCCCTGCAGACAACATTAGCAGCTGCTGCGCATCTAGCAGAGGGACAATTTTTAAATAAGGAGCAAACATTGAACAATGCAAAATCTCTGATATACCGAGCAGGAACTCGGAGACCAACAATTTCCAGGGCAGAAGGGCAGAATTTAGAGCCAAAATAAACTTGAATAAGAAAGAGAGCATCAAGGCGATGTCTCCTAGTACATAAAGTATGTAATTTTAACTCCTCAAGAGCAAGAGAATAATTGTAATGCACTAGAGTAAAGAAGCGTTTAAAACAAAGGGCCACAAACCTCTGCTGGATGCATTCCAGCTTGTTGGCATCAGTTGACGTAATCGAATTCTAGACTACAGACGCCTATTCAAGCTTAGACCTAACTAACGTAGTGTACAATCTGAACATACAGTCTAGCGAAGAGAAATTGAAGGTAATGTTACGAACTAGACCCAATAGTTTCGCACATTGAGAGAAAATGTAATTGACCTGGTCATGGAAATATAGCTTAGCATCAATAAACACTCCCAGGTCTTTTACAGAATCGGTCCGGGCTATTGACGTTTGAAAAAGTTTATAATCGTAGATAAGTAAGTTGGTTTTCCTGGAGAAGGATATAACTTCAGTTTTACTGATGTTGAGTTTCATACAGTTAGCAATGCACCAACCTTGTATAGAGTTAACATCAGACTGAAGTAGATAGCAGTCATGAGGGGAACTAATGGCTCGGTAAATTTTGACATCATCAGCAAAAAGCAGACACTTAGAATGGGCAACTGCATCACACATGTCATTAATAAACATATTGAAGAGAAGGGGTCCCAAGACAGATCCCTGAGGTACACCGGAGAGAACTTCAAAAGGCGAGGAAAGAACACCAGAAACACGGACCTGGGAATGTTAACAAACATAGCAATGGCAGAAGATGCTTTAGGTTGTTCCCTGTTTCCTAGTAACAGCAGAGTATAATTTGAGCTTTCTCCAATATTGTAGTAATGATCCCATTTGTGTCATGATTCCATTGCCTTTTTTAAAGGGGTAGTAATGGGAAAGTTGGCTTGGACTCAATTCCATGTTCACTTTCACATGTTTAAAACCACCACAGAGAGTTTCTCTACCATCATGAAAAAGCTGAAATGGGTACAAGGGTGTGGAAATGGGTAAAGAGCAACAAACACACACCTTGATGTGATATGTAGGGATCACAATATACATATTTATTTATCAAAGAAGTACATTTTACAGAATGTGAAGTGCAATTTAAAAGAAATATGTTTTTTTTTATTGATCAGTAATTATAATGAACTATCTTGACTGAAAATCAGAAATTTGTAAATATCTACAAAGCGATAATCTACTACCATCATCATTACTGATTCTAGAAGGCCTGCTACTGACAGATCAAGGATGACAAATGCAAAATTGAACATCATAAAATGTCTGCTAAATATGCTAGTGCTGTAACTTCTAATGACTGAAGTCTTGTCCTTTTAGTTGGAAATTAAAAGTTCTAAGAAATATGTACGTGTCTGTTAATAATAGTGACAATTATGGTAGCATCGTTCTCCTCCTTGTCTGTATCAGACAGTGGTGGAAAATGGTGTTCATAATTACAGGGGAACTTAATTTTGTTGTCAGTGTACGTGGCTATGATTGGGTGTTCCAAATATTGTTGTAGAAACAGAACTTTTGGTGTTCTGGATTATGAGATAGTAGTCGCCTCTGTGGTCTAGTGGTCAGAGTTCCTGGCTACAGATCCAGGGGTTCTGGGTTCGATTCCCAGCGCTATCAGATTTTCTGAGAATTAGTGGGTCTGGAACAGGGTCCACTCAGCCTCATGAGGATAATTGAGGAGCCATTTTAAGGAAATAGCGGCTCTGGTCTAGAAAACCGGGATTAACGGCCATGGGGATCCGTTGCACTGACCACGTGACACCCTCTATCCGCAAAAGTTGGCATTAACTTCGCTGACAACTGGCAGTCGCTCGGTCTGTATAGTTCGCTTGTGGATTACAGGCCACAGAGTTTGTTTTTAGTCATATCTTGCAGTCTTTTGGAACTTGTAGTCATGGTTATTAATACAGGTTCCTCTTAAATATTTAAGCGGAACCTACTGCCTCCATCTTCAGGATAGAAGATGGAAGCAGCATATTTCTCTAGCACATGGTAACTATCTGCCAGCCTACATCGTGTCAACCTAGGAGACTGAACTTCACATTTTCATTTGATTTTAGCATCTGTCTCATAGGAAACTAATTAGAATCACACTCTTGGATGCATTTGAAGAATTTCTTTTAGTTTGGGTGTCAGCTGTGGATACTGTAGTTCATATGACTTAAATAATGAATATGTTGTACTCTTATATATCACCCTATTTCCATTGCTGTGGAAGAAGTGTTGATGTCTGGATAATTTTGTTACAGTTACAGGAAACTATAATCTCAGTACTTTGTGCTATGAATGAGGAAAATATGATGAAAATGATATGACCTTCATTATGATGATCCAGATCCTTGTTTTGGACTGATGGTAAATGTAGCGACAAATACATTGATGATGGTGACCAGGAAGACACCCATAACAACATAATTGTTGAGTCTGTTGGCCTGGTATTGCTTTGCATCACCAGCCATATCAAACCGTCCTTTGAATATGAGGCACACCCCGACTGCCACCTGCAGATATATACATATGTATATTTGAATTAAGTATATGGCAGAACAGCCAACAACTTTGCGCATAAAATTACTTTTTATTTGAAAATAAAGTACTAAAATTTATGCTCACATAGTAACAAGTACAGTGAAACCTTCATTTAAGGTTTGTCTTAGGAACAACTGATTCAAATGATAACTGAAGATGATGTTAAATTTAGGAAATTCAACTTGGGAACACTGAAATTGATTGTTAAATAAAACAGAACCTTAGAGGAACATTAAATAGGGTTGCCACTGTACTGAAGTGTACGTATGTACTGTCAAAAGTACAATTTTCCCACATTGAAACATCTATAAATTTACTTGGACATCTCCCAATGGGAAGACACAATCAAATTGACCATATTTTGATAGATAGGAGGTGGCATAAAAGTATGTTTGGTGTCTGATCATTCAGGGCAGCAGATTATGATACTGACCACTACCTGGCGGTGGCAAAGGTTAGGGAAGGACTGGCAGTGAGTAAACAACGCATAGAGTTCATATGGTGAGGTTCAATCTAAAAAAAATTAAACAAGGTAGAGGATAAAGATCAGTATCGTGTTGAAATCTCAAATAGGTTCTCGACTTTGGAAAACTTGGAAACTGAGATGGATGTTAATAAAGCTTGGGAAACAATTAGAGAGAATATAAAAATTTCTGCCAAGGAGAATCTGTGTTATTACGAACTGAAGAAACATAACCAATGGTTACAGGATCCAAGCTAAATAAATGGGGATAATCTGAACAATATAACATGTGAAACCAGCAGGCATTTCAGGAATAAAAGAGGGACTATCTGAAAGACAAAATTGATGCGCTTTCAATGAGCAGTAAGAACAAGAATATGGAGGAATGAATGACTTTAACAGAGGTTACCAACCTAGCAGTAACTTAGTGAAGAATGAAAATGGTGATCTGCTTGCAGTTTCCCACAACATTTTGAATGGGTGGAGGAACTATGAGTACTTCTCTCAGTTATTGAATGTATATAGGGTCAGTGATGTTAGGTAGATAGAAATACATACAGCTGAGCCATAATTACTTGAGGCTGAAAGTGCTATTGCAAAATTGAAAAGGTATGCATTGCCAGATAGTGATCAAATTCTGGCAGGACTTATTCAATCAGGAGGCGAAATATTACGGTCTAAGATCCATAAGCTAAATACTTCTATTTGGCATAAGGAAACGTTTTCTGATCAGTGGAAGGAGTCTATTATTCTACCAGTTCACAAGAAGGGTGAAAAAACTGACTGTAGTAATTTATCAGGGGATATCACTGCTATCAACTTCATACAACATTTTATCCAATATTCTCTCAAGGTTAAGTCCATATATAGATGAAATTACTGGGGATCATCAGTGTGGGTTTTGACATAACAGATCAACTCCTGATCAGATCTTTGCATTTGTCAGCTACTGGAGAAAGAATGGGAGTACAATGAGACGGTACATTAGCTATTCATAGACTTATAGAAAGCCTACGATTCAGTTAGGAGGGAAGTATTGCAGAATATTCTGATAAATTTTGGGATACCCATGAAACTACTCGTAGTTAGGTTGATTAAAATGTGTTTAAATGGAACATATAGTAAAGTCCGTGTAGATAAATATTTGTCTGATAAGTTTCCTATCTAGAATGGTCTAAAACAAGGAGATGCTTTATTGCCACTCCTTTTCAACTTTGCTTTAGAATATGCCATTAAGAAGGTCCAGGAAAACCAGGTGGGACTGAAATTAAATGGGACACATCAGCTGTTGTCCTATGCCGATGATGTGAATCTACTGGGTGCTAATGTATATACCATAAAGAAAAACACACAAACTTTAATTGACGCAAGTAAGGAGGTCGGTCTAGAAGTAAACACAGAGAAAACTAAGTATATGTTGCTGTATCATCACCAAAATGCAGGGCAAAATCATAACATAAAGATAGGAAACAGATGTTTTGAAAATGTGGCACAGTTCAGATATTTAGGAATGACAATAACAAATGATAACCTGATTCAAGAGGAAATTAAGAGGCGATTGAACTCGGGTAATGCTTGCTACCATTCAGTCCAGAACCTTCTGTCTTCTTGTCTGCTGTCGAAATGCATAGAAATTAGAATATACAAAACTATAATTTTGCCTGTGGTTTTGTATGGGTGTGAAACTTGGTCTCTGACATTATGGGAGGAACACAGACTGAGGGTGATTGAGAACAGGGTGTTGAGGATATTTGGACTGAAGAGAGATGAAGATACAGGATGTCATAGAAAACTGCATAATGAGGAGCATCATAACTTATACTCTTCTTCAAGTATAATTAGAATTACCAAGTCAAGGAGGATGAGATGGGCAGGGCATGTAGCATGAATGGGGAAGAAGAGCAATGGCTATAGCAAATTGGTGGGAAAGCCAGAAGGAAAGAGACCACTGGGAAGACCAAGGCACACATGGGTGGACAATATTAAAATGGATCTTAGAGAGATATGATGGGATGTGATGGATTGGATAGATCTGGCTCAGGATAGGGATCAGTGGAGGGCTGTTGTGAACACGGTAATGAACCTTCAGGTTCCATACAATTTTGGGAAATTCCTGAGTAGCTGCACAATTGGCAGCTTCTCAAGAGTGGTCAAAAAGGGCTCAGCTCCATGAGTGTGACGGAGTGAGTTTTTGTGAAAATGAAGTATGCAATTAAAATGAAAGGAAGTTGCATTCACAGAACAATTTTTTGTTAATGAGAAATCGGTAATATGACTATTATTTTTACTTATTCAAACCACACTTCCCATTGAGGTAGGCTGGCATTTTTCTGGAAGGGGGATGCAAATGAAACTCTTAAATGTTCCTTTGTACACTTATGCCTTCCATCATTCTCTTGCATCACCTATACCATTTTGTAATCATTAATTTATTCTTCCTCACCGGTTCCCTTTGCATGCAGAACGCCTACCATATCATCCTCATATCCCATGTCTTATCATCATACTGGTTTTTTTGTGTCTGTGTTTAATGCAAGAGTTTTAGTATTCTTCCTCTTCTAGTGTTATTTATTTTTTTTTGTGTTTAAGGTCCCCTGGAGTCAAAGAACTTCTGCTTCACCACCAGGGATATTTCCTATCTCCATTTTGCTTTCCCACGGTTTCAGCATGCATTACAATATGTGTCAATATGGTAACTTGAGGGGTGAAGGTAGAGGTGACCTTTTTCACGGCCCTTAAACGGAAGCCCAGGTGCAGGGCTTGGATCATAAGTCATGTAAAGCAACGTTGTGCCCCGTTTTGGGTATAGCTGGCATAGACACTCCCTAGGTCGTATGACTGGCTGTTTGGCTACACCATTCAGACGTGTTATCGCTATCTGTCAGCTGTGACATAATCAACGCCAAGTCCTGTGAGGTCGTGTAAGCCTATGTGTGTATGTAAATATGCATATATACGTTTGCAGGGCATAGAGTGGGGAGTCATGGGTGATTATTTCCCTGGTAAGGGCATATAAGCCCAGCTTGATAATAGTGTAGGACTTGTCGTTAGGTTTAGAATTGCCAGGGGTATTATAGAAGGTTAAATCGTCAGATATATTCATATCAGGTGGTGGTGGGAGTCCTCACACTGGCACAGACTGGGAAATTAAGTGTCTGTCTTCTCTTTCTTTTCCTCTCCCCACTGACAGACTGATGTTGATAGCTCTGAAGGGGGAACCTTTTCATCATGGCTTCTACGAGCCCTTCAGGGCCGTTATAACGTAAATAACATTCAACCGTTAAACAGTCTTTGAAAGCAGTTGTTAAAATATCATCTCCACAATTTGTAGCATTTAAACTCCAAGACCCAAATAAATCCATGCATGACAATCCATTTTATAACTGGAAAGCCCTTGGTGACATTGCCGGAAACATTAGAAATGCAACTGCAATGTAGAAATGGACAATTTTGGTTGAAGCGTTTAATGAGAAGCACGCAGTAGCCCTCCTTAGGGCCATACTCACTGGCTGTCATCTCATACATTTCGAGAGGCACACATCCCTCAGTTCATGCCTGGTAGTTCTAGTAGCTGACTTCCCGGACGGCATGTCAGATGAGAATAGTCAAGCAAATAGGTTGATCGAGAAGAGGGATGGAAGCCACTCCCTCTTCAAACTGTATTTTATCCTTTGAATTCCATCCTGTCCAGCTCAGTAATTGTTGAGTATAAGATGGCATCCATTTGACTGCACACTAAAATCCTATGCAGTGCTTTCGGTGCCATTTTTGACACACCCAACAACGGTGTGCTGTGGGCCTAGTCTGGCAACTGCAGTTTGCCTGGGCATGGCGAATCACTGTGTGCCAGTCCTCTGAACTGTATGAATTTGTCTCGAGCACATGCGTCGGAGACAGGAATTGTCCCATGCACCAGGACGAAAGGACATTCAAGTCAAGGAAGGTATTTCCTTTCTGGACTCCCGGGAAATGTTCCTCAAAGTAATCGAAGACCAGGATCCAGTCTTGTGCATTAAAGCTTCACCACCCACGAAGGTCTTATGTCATCACGGACCAAAGCTGACCTCCCTCCAGACCAAACATGAGCCCTATACAGGCCCAGACCGAGCAGCAATACCTTACCAGACTGAGGTATCCACCCAAAGTCACTATCTCCTCAACTTTATTGTGCCTGGTACAAATATGCTTTGTATCTGACACTGGTGCACAGTGCCCGAAGCACACAGAAATCCCCACACAGAGATATCTCTCCTTGGTTCTGGCCTCCTTTCTGTTTCATGGCCCAAACCATCTGGCCTTGTAACCATGCCGAACCATAGCGAGTCTTATTTCCACACATCACATTCTCTGGCACACTGAAATTAAAGAACAAAGGGTGATCATAAAGATCCCCTCTTAAGGCGCAGTAGTATATGAATGTGTGTTTTCTTCTTATCAATCTTAATTAAGCTGATATAGTGGAACCTTAACGATTTCTAGACACGCCCTAGCACAACATATTGACCTTAT